GAAATAGTTTGGAGGTCATTGTTTCGCCATTGAGGCAGAAATGGAAACGTTAAGAGAGCCCAGAATCACGTTTATTCTATTTGTATGTATCTATTCTATTAACAAGTAGGTAGTTCTGTACTGAAAACATGAAAAACACAACCACCAGCTTCCTGTTAACACATTTTTTCATGCAAATGGTGTGGAAACTGCCCACATGATCACACGCACTGGACTAAACTTACAGGATCATAATTGATACCCAGACAAACACAACGCCCTATCGCTCCCTCACCACACTCATACAAACACAAACACACTGACCAGATCGCGGCCCCTCGGGGCAGTGGGGCAGTTCTTGAGCGATGTCTCCCCAGGGGGCTGATATTTTATAGTTTGTGTCCATCAGTGCCGTAGCCCGGGGCGCCAGGGTTGACAGTAAGTGCTCTCAACACCGGTGACACTGATTCATCTGGGCTATGACACAGATGAGAGAGAGAAGGGGGAGGAGGGACAACCAGAAAAGAAACGTAAAACACAGACTAGTTCATGTTTGCATATTTTGTTTGTATCTTCTTGTGTTTGGTGTGCAAATGTGTACACTGCATTCGTGTCTAACACTGTGGTGTTAGTGAATACCAAATTGTCTTACCTTTAGTGTTGGCTTTTTGACATTTGGAATGTTCACCACAGCACCCATGGCTGTACCATGATGTGGCGCTCTAATGTGGGCTGGACCGGAGAGAATGGCTTGAGGATGGGACTCCAATCTAACATGGCATTTCAATTTCTCATTCCCCCTCATGGCTGTGCTGTGCACTGCTGCACCTCTTCTACATATATATAGGGAGGATGCCTCTGAACCCCAGCCTTCTGGATGCGCATACTAAGCAATCAATGTGTCACCTCTTCCTGACAATCCTATTTTTTTTCATACGGAGACCACGCTCATTTTTTCTTGTCAGCAGAAGGTAATTTGCTGTATTGTGATTCAGTCCCAAAACTTGGGGGCGAGGTGTCTTATAATGCGCTACCTCCCCTCTGTCGGCCCCCGGCTCCCTTGCACCCCCTCCCGCCCCCCTTTCTGCAACACCCACAATATGGAAAAACTGGAGGAAGCACCCCAACCCCCATCCTATCTGCACCCACCTGCGCCCCCCCACACCCCTTGTCCCTCCTTTCCACACCAAGCCCAACATAGTTGTATCTGAGGCGTGCTGCTAAATTAGATAAGCGGAGTGTGGCGCAGCGCCCCTGATTAATAAAAGATGCAGTGCTCCCGGGGGACGGACCCTCTGAGGGCCGAGCAGAACCTACCCACGCACAATGGGGTTTGGTGGCACACAATGGACATGGAAATGGACAGAATGAACCAATCATGGAAATATAACATTTAAAGCAGAACTGTCCTGTGACCCTCTATAACATTATGCATGCATCATAGTAGATAATAACTCATGTTAGGAGTGAAAAAAGAACAAAAATATTAATATATTCATTTATTTAGGAAGAATGGCCTACTATTGACATATGTTAGATAGAACTGACAATTTCCTGCTTTTTATAACATTTGCAATTCCATCGGCAGAACTACTACAAATTCATGTTCAGTTGTATTCTCGCACTAACAGTGCATATTTAACATATTAGTTATTATTTATTATTAATATATTGGTTACTATTTATTCTTCAATTTAAGCCTGCTAATATCTGGAATATAAGAGGATCATAGAAATTGGTATCATGTGTATTCTGAGGCTGCGGTTTCATGTACTGATATTACTGATTATCAGAATAAATAACCCATAATGCAAAATGAGACAAAACTGAAACAAGCGAAGCTGTAAACAATTCCAACATTTTTAGCAGGGATATACATCTTTTTTTAGATGTCAATTGTTTTATTCAACAGCAGTCTAAAGAAGGCCTTGTTTTGCGAGAAATACATTTATCGTGCTTCAAAGTAACAGTTTAAAGGGGATTTAAATCTACAATACACACGTCATGTTTTTGTTTTTTTAAAGTGTAATTACCTGATCTCTTAGCTAACCATTGAATTTGTACTGCAACGGAACATAATATTGTCGACATTAAATAACAGATAGAGCTTCCTAGGTTTCAGCGTCTATATATTGTGAACTTTTTTTTAAATATTACTTTGACCATCACATGCAATAAATGAAACGTCTGTGGAAGAACGTGCCGAAAGCTTATCGGATACTCGTTTTCAGACCCGCAGTATCACATTGTCATCTCATTTCTGCCCTACATTAGCTCTATTGGTCCCGTAATGGCTTCCTTACCAGGAGTATTGGAGATCCAGCTGCCTATGGAAAGCGGTGTACAATCATTGGCTGTTCCATTCAAAATTATCGCTGTAAATAGTGAATTAATCCTGGTTATTTTACTACTCAGAGAACACTAAAGCAGTCACTGAAACCCGCTTACCCAACACTTACAGACAGGTTCACAAGGCAAATGCAAAACCACAGCAACATGGACCCGTTGATACATAGCTCATATGTGTGCATGTGCACTCATGCAGCCACTCCTCTGCTTTGCGTTGTTGGTGTGTTTTTGCTGCATGGATCATGAACACGAGAGCATTTATCTTTAAATAACCTCCATCCCCCAAAACCTACTCAACAATAGCTTTATGCTTCTAATTTTCCGCAAGATAATGGTAGTCATATTGAGATGAAAAAGGTCAAGGGTTGGCCTGGGAGTTTCTGATTGGTTCAGAGCACCACGCTAGCCCCTGGAGATAAAATGGAAAGTGATATTTCATTCATTGCACCCCACTTCCAGACTGACTTGCAATTTTAGGTGATAGTTCCATGAGGAGGCCCAGTGCTGCAATGATTAGAGTGCATCTACCAGTCAAACACTAAACACAGAAATTGCTACTCTGATGTCTTCCATCAGCAGTTCTTTTTATGATCAGAGGCAAGTGCGGTATAGTTACACACGTGCTGTTTTTTGTATGCAGTTTTTCCAATTTACTCCTACCCCTACCAACCAACAAAGATTGATGGGATTTGTGTATGAATATGTATAAGATGTGCATATGCAGTAGTCCAGGACCTGCCTTTGATCTTCATCTGCCCTCCTGCTCTCCACATTGTAGTTTTTTATAAAGGAAACATATTCCATATTTTAGTAGATATTATAGGTTATAACACTGCTTGCACTGATTCTCCTCAATTCTGACGCCTCCATATATTTATATTCATACTCATTTTGTCCTTTAATCTGTAAATGCATCCGTGGAGATGTGGGGGAGGTCACTAGGGTAGCTTGGAGGAACCTATACTGATTTCTTTCTTTTACACCATGATTCTGTGTTAGGCTGCTGTTCATTGAATGTAATATTTAATTCATGCTTTGACCACAATAGTTAGAGAATCAGCACTCGCTGGTATGTGAATGTATGGAGGACCAAACTGTGGCCGACATGTGAGATCGACCGTAGAGCCTGTAATCTGGGGGAACATGCAGCTTAGAGGATGCATATAATCATACAAAGGACTCCAAATTGCTGAAACCATTTCACACCAACAAATAATGATCATACAACCACACACAACTTATGTGTCCTACGACAACTCGTGACATATTGTCACATTCATATATGTTTTGTTATGTTGATTTCTAAAAAGCATTATGAAACTACAACAGTAGAGAAACTGGCGTTTGGCTGACATTTTTTGTTTTGTTTAACCATGGCAGCTTCTGCATAATCTCTCTGGCCTGGTTTCTACGTTGTTTCTTCTTTATATTCTAGCCTGAGGGCCGAATGCATCACTCATTATGCAGTGACCCAAAACTGCATTTACTAAACCGCGGTCCAGCCATTGGGAGTGGCCTGAGCTTGTTGAGCAAGTTGCCCTTTAAGGTCATTGCATTGGTCATGTGATAGGCCAGCGGAGCCCCCTGGGCCATATGACAAACCGAGCTGCCAGACCGAGGTGTGTGTCAGGGGTGTTTTTCCACCAAGCATTCTATAAAAGTGTAACTGGGCTGTGTTTGCCCTTTCCTCCCGCTACGCGTTCAGCCAACAGGCCCCCAAAGATCTCTTAGAAAGTGCTGATCCACAAAAGCTGAATGGGAGCTGTTGTAATCCTACTGATTCCGCTCCCCCCCCCCCCCCACACTCCCCACGACCACCACCCCTCAAGATCCCCATCCTCTCTACCTCCTGCTTCCTCTCTCACATTCCCTTACTGTCTGCTGCTGATGCATTGCGCTGATGCGAGCGACAAGGTGATGGGATGATGGGGCTTGTTTAGGCCCCAAGCTAATTACAACACATTAGAGCATGACTAAATAAATCTTAAGTGCCACTAATTGCTTGCCAGTGAAAACAATAACTGTGGTACTCGCCCAGGGGCTCTGGGGTAGCGAGGGGTTGGGGCACAGGGGACATGGGGCCCTGGCACTGGGCCAGCAGGAGACATCAGCACCATCAGTCTACTCTGCCTTCATTTTAAAGTCACACACCACTTGGCACTGTCACTGCACGCGGCATATGCCCGACACCCACCACATCCAACAGTTGCCAACACAGTCCCCGCAGCCCTCAGCAGCAAAGAATAAGCCATAGATGACAGGCACAGACAGGCCCAGCCTTGTCTGGAGAGCCATACATCACTGCATTAATAAGCATGAATTAGTAATGGCACAATTAGATGGGGTTGTTCTGACATTTACTAGTACAATAATGGTGTTCTCCTCTTTACAACCCCTTTGGCCTGTACTGGAGCACCATCCGATCACAGGCCTTTAGATCTTAGTGCTGGACGGGGTGGGTGGGTGGGGACATCCCACTCAGTCTTGGTCACAATGAGAAAGGACACATTTAAGGAACATGAATCAAGATCATTTTTCTTCCGTAAAAATGAAATAACAAATGTGTATATTTATGTTTTATCATTTTTATCAACTTTCGTAAATCCAGTATTGTTTTTGCTGTTTTCTCTCCATACATCTGTGTAATGTGTGTGTGTTTGCTTCTCTTTTAGGTTGCATTCTGTTGTGTACCCCGAAGACATTTGATCAGCCTTTGCTGCCCATCAGACCTCCTGTTGCCAAAGGTATGTTCAACGTCGACATCCCAGAAGCTCCACTGAAGGTGTCGTCGCAAAGCATTTCATCCTGCCACCACACTCACCAAAATGATTGCCATAACCAGTGCCATGTGCCAGCTCCTCCAACTAGTTGAATTTTAAGGGTTGGTTCATTTTAAATTTGTGTGCACCACAGAATGCTTAGTTACTAAACATCATCAAATTGCAGAAAAATACTACACATAAATAATACATATAAACGATGTTCCATCGTAAACGTGTTTTTTGGTTTACCTGCTTTAATGTGATTACTGTCAATTAAGTTAAGTTTATTTGGAAAGGTTTAGCTTAGTTTTTTTGGCCAGTATTTAAACACTGCCAGATGATGTTTAGGCTCAATGTAAGGTTTCAAGCGGAAGAAACACTGTACCTTTCAATCAAAATCATTAGCATAGACATATTGATCACATCATTAACCTGAAAACAGTAAACTCCTTTACAGTGCCAACTGACTAAAGCTCTTAAAAATGATTTTTGTTTTGCATCTTGACCTTTCTTTCTTTAATCATTTTTTTGTGAGGTCTAATTTCTTAAAACGTGTCAGGGGTGAATAGTGATGTGATCTCCATCTCACAGTCACCCGCTTCCACTTTTGTGCTCTTTCTTCTCTGCTGAACCAGTGGCTTCTCATTCGCACTGCCACTCTTCTGCAGTGTTTTACTGCTTTCCCAGGGGACCCATGAGCTTTTGTTAGCTTTTCTGTGAACACGCACAGCCTAATTGGTTGATTAGTTGAGGTTGACTGGCCTGTTAATTGAATAGTAATTTAGATTTGATGGTTCTAATGAAGATCCTAATTTACGTTTTGGCACTCAACCAAGGTTTTGTTTTTTGAGAGTAGGAATCAAACAGAAGGGATGAAAGGAAATAAGAAAGTGATTCAGTGCTTTGATAGCACATGAATGGACTCTTTGTATTAGGTGATAACTAAGAGTGTTAATCTCCCTGAAATTAAACTGGTAGTGACAATAATACGGTTCTGATATTTAAACAGGTTAAACAAGGCCTCGTATCACACTCTACTCAAGGTATCAGTACACTAACAGAAAACAAATCCCAGCATCTCTGAGAAGACTGACAGCCATATTTAGCCTTTACGTTACACTTTGAGTAGCTGTGTTAATTTTGCAGCTTTGTTCCTCTAAGGTACAGACTGATTAAGTGCATATAAAATGTAAAAAGCATTTTTTGTACTGACAAACATTTGTTTATAGTTGAGAAAGCTCCGTAGCTTTCTATTTGTCTATAAAAGTAAAGCAAGGTAAAGTAAATCATTGCATTGCTGAATGACACTGCTTTTTTCTTATATTTTTGCTCCTTGTTGATCATATTTTTTAATAAATGGCAATGTACATGTGATCAAGGTTTTATGAATGTGAATCAGACATCAGCAGGTTACTATTGGCTTTTCTTGACTCAATGAGGTTTACTAGTCTATGATATTAGAATGATATTAGGAGTTCAGCAACTATTGCAAGCAAGCTATTCTGTGATGTCTAACTCTTGCTGGTTACCATTAATACTACTGTACCTGAGCTACTTTTGTCGTACAGCTTTAGCTCAAGTAAAGTATGACTAAATAGTACACTGTTAAACATACACAGTATGACATTGGGAAAGAACCAAGTGTCCTTTCTGCCAAACGCAGTTCCATTGTGTTTTACAGATTATTCATATTATCGTAGGCCCTTTTTGTCATTGTTTAACTCAACTGCTTGTTCACAGAGGAGTGAACCTGTCGATTGTTGGCCTTTTTCTCTGAGCGTTTTCCTCCACAATTTGTCAGATTTTCCCTCAAGTCCACATTATGCGCAATAAATTCACATTAAGAATCAATCAATGGAAACTTGATTTCCTATGTGCATTGGGAGCGTCCTCCCACACGCTTTTGTCTCCACCTCCACTGCGACGTAGCGTGGGGCCTTGAACTGAACATTTATTGCTGCTGTTGGGTGGTCCGTTGTCTGCATAGTAAAACTCCAACAAAATCCAAAGTATAATAAAAATGATATCCAATCCAAAGAACTGTTGGAATACGTCCCAAAGCTAGTTGTTTACTCCACCTCAAAACAGAAAACAATCGGTTATTTGTCGCAGTTTGCGTTATCTTTGAACTGGAAATCAGGGTTGCATTAAACATCCAACTTGGCCTCAATCAGAAATGATCCTGCTACTTCCTCGTTGGATCATTGTATCCAGGATGCAGGTTCTGCCTTTGATTTCTTCAGGAATTTCCATTTATTGGCCCAGTACGTGGCCGGCCTTCTGTGTGCCGTGATGTCACCAAGGAAACTGCAGATCTTTGGTACTCCAGCTGTTCGGCTTTCTAGACGAAACATAAAGAAATGGAATGTAATAAAAAGTAATAAATTAGGCTAGATTAAAAAAATGATTGTGCGGAATGTCTTAATCGACAACAATACGCACCACCCCTCAATTTCTCCTTGAACCGCATGCAATCATGCACCCATATGCAAATGCAATACTCACTTGGCAGTGTTACATAGCAGGCCAAAGTAGTGACACACACATCTTTTTGCACTATTTCTTCATCTGTCACTTACCCGAATACTTAAAGCAGTAGTCATTAGTTTCCCTCACCCTCCCACTCTTAATGAGAAAGCAATCACCAAAGGTTTCCTCTCAATCCCAGTGGCCTTGCAGCGTTGTCCGAAACCTGCCTTCAGCTTTGCCTCTGCTTCTGTCTGAGATTTGCTTCTCTTTCCTTGTACCTCTTCTCCCTTTCACTGTGGCTGCAGACTCGCTCTCTTTCTCCATCCTCTCTGCAGCCTCTCTCTTTTGCTCCTCCCATCTCTGAGCTCCAGGCTTCTCTGGGCTTTAGACGAATCACTCTCACAATGGTGAGAATCCACCATGATCCCTGCAAATGTTTATAAATCATCGGGCAGCTGCAATGCGGAGGGAGGGGAAGCGGACGAGTTGAGGTCCAGCATGCCATGGCATCGCCCGCGAGAGAGCCAGCGCGGACCTGATTGGCCGTCCGTCGACCCGCCTTGGCAGGAAGAGAGCTGGAATATTCTGCGTTTCTTTGACATCGTGGCTTGGTGAACCACAGGCCGCCCTGGCTTGGACTGCTGAACTTAAACTCCAAACACCCCAAAGCAGAGTGCAGCAGTTTAAACCTTCTCGCTGCTCGATGCAGACTGCTCACCAAGCGATCTCACGTGCTTCCATTCCTCTCACATCAGAAATGAATTAGCATAAATTAGCAAGCTAAATCTTTTTGAAACCTGTCGTCTCAGAAACCGTTCTGTACACCAACGCATCGACACACACTTACACACTGAGCTCATAGACTTGCAGGGTGCAGAGGACCAGCTATCCACAGCATGTCCCTGTTGTACTGTCATGAGGGAACAGGTAGTCCTCCCTCTGGATCACATTGTTGCCTCCCTCTTGACTCTCACACTCCGAAGCTTACTGTAAATGAAATGATTCACCGCAGCCTGCCTCTGTAAACAGAGAAGATAATTGCAGCGAGGAGCTTAGTGTGGTGTAGCTTTCTCCAGAATCAAAACTGTTGAATCAGACTAACATCTGTCAGCCATAAGGCTAGTCAGCATTTATGACCGAGAGTCAACCTCACCTCTCTGGGCTGCGTAACCTTGTCTGTCTCCCTCCATTTGTAACACCCATCATGGACCCAGATGCCCAGATACTAGCCCATGAATGTTAAGGTAATTATAGGAGCTGATCCGTATAACAACAGCTGTCCACATATTGCATTTTTTCAATTTGCTGCAGCATTTGCTTTGCACGGTGGGAAAGATTCCTACATGTTCTTAGGTCTCATTCAGTTCTTAGTACATGACACATGACTAGAGAGACACGTGATGTGCTGGAGTGTTAATAATTACTAACTACTCTTAACACATCCAGAACTGGCCACAGCCAATGGTTATTCATTACCATAACATGTTGTAATGAAGTTAAATCCCTCATCACGCTGTCTGTGGCTGGGAAGTGCTCTGTGACTGAGCTCAACCAGTCCACATGTAATCCAGGCTGTCTCTTTCTAGTCCCACACTCGATTGAAGACTCGCCGTTCCGTACGCCACCTTTGGCCATTTCCTTTTTTTTTTTTTTTTTATTATTCAGAATCCATCTTTGTTTCTTCCTTCCTCTCTGTTCCCATTTTTCACCTTCCGTTCCGTCAACCACATACCCTCCCATCTCTACGAGTGTATTATTTATTTCATCTGAATGCAGGCGCTCTTTGGTGCAGGCTTCTCACAGTAATCAATTTCAGCCCCGACAGCATAACCAAACAAAGCGCTGCACTCATTTCAGCACGGGCATAGATGTAACTCATCTCTCTCATTTTCTTCCTCTTGCTCCTTCACTGGAAGACATTTTGTTCTCACTCTGATGCCATTATGTCAATCACTGCAGACATGTGGTGATGTGTGAATGCTGCTGGTAAATGACTCATGGCAAGCAACCATCATTAGATACTATAGAATTAACATCTGTTAATGCAAATGGTAGTTTTGTTGCATACGATGGCCATCTTGCATGTGTGCATGCATGGGATTATTTAGATACATTTTTACTCTAGTGTACATGTATAGCTTTTACAGTCTTGTACAAAACATTGTGTATAGCATGTTGTTTCTGCATTTTGTCTCCTTGTGGGGTGTGTGTGGGGGGTACCATGTAGTTTGTACAAGAAGCAGTTTTCTCCCGTCGCTCTGTGAATGAGAGAGACTTGAGATGCCAGCTCTCTGTATCCTTTTCTTTGCCAGCCATCCTTTTTGTGCAGCAGTTGGGACCACCAGTTAATGCAGCCGCTGGTCTGGCCTCCTTTCTCTGCTTTTATTGATTTCAGCCAGACACAGAGACAGACAGAAAAAAAGGCTCTTTTCAGGAAGAAGTTAAATGGTCAAGTAGCGGATGGAGGGTGGCATTCACCACTTTATTGACGGGGTGGAAAAATGTCACTA